AATCTCAACATCCAAAATCTCCGTCACCGGCGACACCCTTATCCCCCTTCTCCCCTGCATCTTTGCTGCTTGCTTCATGGCCGTGCTTGCCCGAATCGCTAGAGCTGCTACATTAGCAGCGCTTAAGAGTTGATTGAGCTCCGCCACTGGAAGGAGAAAATATATTTGCCCCGACACTAGCTCCTCATCGGGTGCCATCGCAGGCGGATAGGCGTCAAAATAAAGCTTGTCGGAGTTGCAGAGCATGTAGGTTTTTCCGACCGCCGTGATAACCTCGGAGGTGCGAATACCACTGGTATACTCAAGGAGAGAACCGTCAGTTGCTACGACCATTGCCTTCGATGGAAAAAACGAGTTTTTGTCATTGACGGCGGTGAGAACTGTTGAGAAGGAGCAGCCCATCAGGATTTAATAAATGAAAGGAGGAGAGAAAAGATGAGGAAATGGAGATAGCTTGGATTGGGTTTTATACAGGAAGGAGAGAGGAAGATATGGGGAGGAAAGTTAAGTAATGACGTGGAGCTTACAGCAAAGAGAGGAAGGATTATTCAAAATGGAGAAAAAGGGCTATAGAAATTGCTATAAAATATATTGAAAAAGATATTTGAATTTTTTTTTTTAATTTTAATTTGAAATCACACTGCCACAGATGGAGCTGAGAACATCAAATTTTGGTTGTTTTATTTGTTCTTTTCAGCTTGAATTTTGTGGACCTATTTGCCTGAAAAACTTATTTGTTGTTTGCCATACATTCAAGTTCTGAAAATATTGAATATTTCAACAATTTTTGACTCATCAATCTTTGAGCTGATTTCGGAACTTCGAGCTTTTAGAAGATCAGCTCGAAATATATATTACACAGATATTTCATATATTATGCATCGGTGAGTATAATATTTGACTTAGTTTTGTTTAAGACGGCTTTTTTACTGCTTCTTAAAGTGACTTTAATTTTTATATTTAGAAGCTACTTTAAGAAGCAATAAGAAAGTCATCCCAAACAAAATCTTAGAATTTGTCCTGAAAGATTGAAAATGAATTGAAAATGGATTGATTTTTGGCTCGAATAGAACTCGGATCAAAGAATTAGTCATGTTAAGAATGAATTAAGATTGGATTGAGCCAAATTTTAATTATTCTTGACACAGCTTGAGATAGGATAAAAGGAATTTGAGCAGAATGAAAGAGAGTATTCAATTTGGATATCCACAAGGACTTTGTAAATAGACATTAAAGTTTTATTTATGGTAACTTTCTTACTACTTATTTAAGCATATAAAAGTTTTTTTAACTTAAAAATTTTTGTATTAAAAAACTGCTTTAGGAGTAAAAGTTTTTTTAACATAAAATTTTTGCAGTAAAAAGACTGTCGCAATTGAAGTCTTAGGTTTCGTTTGTGACGGCTTTCTAACTACTTCTTAAAGTGGCTTTCTAGTTCAAAAATTAAAATTTTAATACTAAAAAACTATTTTAAGAGGCAGCAAAAAAACTGCCCCAAACTAAATCACAAATTCCAAGTTTTGATCGGCATAGTGCTTAGCTGTTGTGGCATTGGCCGCCTGAATCAGGTGAAGAATGGATCAAATCAGCAAACAACGGACTAGTTCAATTCAATATCAGACTTATACACAGCTCACCTTGTCCTCTTGGTTGAAAGCTTAGCTTTCAACTAAGAAATTTGAGTTTGAGTCTTTGTGTATGCGTTGTGTGTGTAAGTTTTTCTTAATATATGACTTAAATGCCCCAAAAAAAAAAAAAATCAGACTTATGTCATTCACTAATTCTCTCCGCATAAAATAATTAAAACTCACTTTCTTATTTGCCTTATTAAAAAAAATACAAAAAATTCTCCCCAACCAAAATAAGCCAGAGAAAAATAGTTTCTATTCTTTGATTTTGACAATTTTATTTGCTTTCCTCCACCCTCAAAAGTATATGAATGCAAAGAAAGAATTCATTATTGGGAACAATTTACTATTTTATAAAGTAAATTTTTAGAATAAATTTTTTTAAAACACTAAAAAGTTGTCCTAACTGCAGTTTTTTTATAAAGTTGATGGTAAATTTATGGTGAAAAAATGTAGTAAAAGTTAATGTAAAAATTGCTTTCTAGTAGGGGTGTCAATATTGGATCCGATACGAAAACACGGCCAAAACCCGACCAAAAAATTTTGGGTTTGGGTTGACACGAACCCGAAACTGGTCGGACGGGTCGGGTTCGGAATCAACATTTCGACCTGTTTCAAAAATCGGGTCTAGTTCGGGTTGCCCCGTTGGCCCGAAATTAAACCGTTTTTACCCGAAACCCAATTTTTCTCGAAAACCCATTTTGACCCGAAAAGCGATGATTGACCCATTTTGGACCCGAAAACTAACAATTTTTTTGTCCGTCCCGAGTCGAGACCCGAAGGAGGTCAGGTTTGGGTTCGGAAAATCAACTCATTTGCAAAAACGGGTCGGGTTCGGGTTGACGTGTAATGTGCCTGGTTAGTTTCGGATTCGACCCGAACTCGACCCGCGGTCCGAAATTGACATCCATACTTTCTAGTATATTTTTTAAAAAAAAAATTAAAAAAAAGAGGCAAATAAAAATTTGGATTGATAAGATGTTTAGAAAGTGGCAGGTTACTTCATTGTTTAATAAATGTGTCATTCAACACGTGTCAAAGATGTTTAGAAATTTGAATTGGTGGGCGTGCTCGGTTGGGAACCCCTCATCCTGAGTTCGATTACCTCGAGCCGCAGTCGCCCCTTTGGTGAGCTCCCCAAAACGCCGGCTGCGGATACAGTGGTGTGGGTGGCCCGATAGATTGGCTGGGGTTTACGGACCGCCAAGCGCACTTGTCTATGCCTGACGTGACAGCGGATAGTTCCTCATCACCCAAAAAAAATGAAAAAAAAACAGGTGTCAAGTCATCGCTGCGTTGAAATAAAATTTATAAGAAAGTCCCAAATATTCCCAAAAAAAAATATATATATATAAGAAAAGTTACGATAATGGCAGAATTGTTTCTTTCTTTGATAGCTTCCATATACTTTAGTGATTTTTTTTGTACCTTTTTTACGTTAAATTCGGTGAGCTGTTTCGCTGCAAACCTTATTTGCTGTCTGCGATAGGCTATTAGCATTCACTTCGTAAGGAAGATTGAATCTGTCCCATATTTATTTATTCGTTCCAGATAGGTCTTTAATCTATCAATTAAATATGTAATGACTAATGAAAGCTATTTATGGAGGAAATTGGGAATTTAACGAATTTGTAAATATATTTTTAATTGAACTAATTCAGAATTTTGAGCGAAGCATCTCGCTTAGTTGCGAAGGCTTCGTCGACCTGAACCAGATGAAGACTGCATCAGATCAACTAATTGTGGATTCTCTCCTCATAGAATTGAAAACTAATTTCTAATCAATGCTTTCTACAATTTTTGTTTGCTTTCCTCATTCTCAATTCCTTCAAACCAAAGTTAGTAAAACAATACCAATGTAAATTAAGAGTCTGTTTGGGGTAGTCATAACTTTTTTATAAAAGTTATTACAAAATTATTATGATAAAAATAACTTTGTTGAAAATTATTATATAAAATAGTTTTCTAGTATAAAAATAATGAGCCTTAGAAAAAGATTGCATTGTTCAGTTATAAGATGAGCTATATTTCATAGAGTTTGAATTGGGCAAATTTGTATATTTTTTGGGACATTTAGGTTAATTAAAGCAATTTCATACACATCACATATGGAATATTCAAATTCAAAATCTCTTAGTTGATTGCCAAAGTTTATAACCAACAGACCAAAGAGAATTGCATAGCAAATTTGTATAATATGATTGTGCATGCACGTGTATGTGTTTAGACAATATAGAGTGAACTATTTTGTATTTTTCAAGGTAATTAATCCAGCACCCCTCTTTATGAAATGCTTCAAAAACAAGTACATAAATAACTAATATATCTTCTATTGAATTCATGAGTATGGTTTATATCCATCACTCAGGCATTATTTGAGGTAGCTTTTTTACAGCTTTTTAAATTAACTTTTTAATACAAAAATATCTTGAATTCAAAATTTATGTACTAGAAAGCTAATTTAAAAAAAAAAACAGTAATTTTTTTTAACCAAAAGAAAATTCTATTAGAAAAGAGTAACAATACACCACAAGGTCAAAAGTTGGCCACATAGAGCAAGATTACAGCCAGAGAAAATACAACACACGACAGAGCCAACCAAACTAAACAAAAAGAACACAACAACTCCAAAAGCAGCTCGTTACCTGGCTGCTAGGCTTGGGCTATCCAAGGAAGAAAAGAAGATAGCATCAAAAGTTTACTAGCGCAATCTATTCTCAAAAATCAAAATCAACCAAAGTCCACCTAGATTGCGAACCAAGCCATGGCTGTCTGAGGTACATGCAGGAAACCTACTTCATCATTGACCTAACGCAATACCATCGTAACAAATGAAACCACAACAAAAACGCTTACACCATCCACCCGAATAAAAACTCACCAAAATAGGGAAATAAACAAAATAATAGAGACACAGAACAAAACCTCTAAAAAAATATCAATAAAATTACCATCAGGTCATCACAGCCGACAGAACAGAGAATACCACCCCCAAACTGCCCAAGAGAAAGAGCCTGCTGCACCAATCCGATGTCTAGACTCATTTCTTTTTACCTCTGCGCTTTTTATGCTTGCCACTATTTTTAAAAGAATCCAACATCCGCAATTTGAAGGAGACTAAGTTCAAAATTATCCAAATCCTCAAAATTTTTTCCATTTATTTCTTTTTAGCTTCAGAAGTTACAAGTGCCTGTATAAGTTTTTTTATCCTTACAAAAAAGTTATATTTAGGGTCGATCTCTTCCCTAAACCCTAAATATCAACAAAATCCTAATATTTTCACTATTCTACTGATCTTATATACATCACATACAAACTCCTATCTGCATAACAATATTTACGAACTCAACACTCGCAAGGAAAGGTCAAAGATCAGCAGCATACACAATCCTCATCAACTTCTTCAATTGTACTCAACGCCTTCGATCTCTTGGACCTAACCCCCACCACTTTCTTATATTTCTTCTTCGTCTCTATTGTCTTCTCAGCCAATTTCAATTCAAAATTTCGTCTACCACTAATACCAAGCTCAACATCCAAAATCTCTGTCACCGGCGACACCCTTATGCCCCTTCTCCCCTGCATCTTTGCTGCTTGCTTCATGGCCGTGCTTGCCCGAATCGCTAGAGCTGCTACATTAGCAGCGCTTAAGAGTTGATTGAGCTCCGCCACTGGAAGGAGAAAATATATTTGCCCCGACACTAGCTCCTCATCCGGTGCCATCGCAGGCGGATAGGCGTCAAAATAAAGCTTGTCGGAGTTGCAGAGCATGTATGTTTTTCCGACCGCCGTGATAACCTCGGAGGTGCGAATACCACTGGTATACTCAAGGAGAGAACCGTCAGTTGCTACGACCATTGCCTTTGATGGAAAAAACGAGTTTTTGTCATTGACGGCGGTGAGAACCGTTGAGAAGGAGCAGCCCATCAGGATTTAATAAATGAAAGGAGGAGAGAAAAGATGAGGAAATGGAGATAGCTTGGATTGGGTTTTATACAGGAAGGAGAGAGGAAGATATGGGGAGGAAAGTTAAGCAATGACGTGGAGCTTACAGCAAAGAGAGGAAGGTTTATTCAAAATGGAGAAAAAGGGCTATAGAAATAGCTATAAAATATATTGAAAAAGATATTTGAATTTGTTTTATTTTAAATTAAAATCACACTGCCACATATGGAGCTGAGACCATTAGATTTTGGTTGTTTTCTTTGTTCTTTTGCTTGAATTTTGTTGACCTATTTGCCTGTAAACCTTATTTGTTGTTTGCCATAGGTTATAGCATTCAAGACTTCTGAAAATATTGAATATTTCAACAATTTTTTACTCATCAATCTTTGAGCTGATTTCGGATCGAGTTTGGAAACTTATCGAGCTTTTAGAAGATCAGCTCGAAATATATATCACACTAATATTTCATATATTATGCATCAGTGAGTATAATATTTGACTTAGTTTTGTTTGAGACGACTTTCTTACTACTTCTTAAAGTGATTTTAATTTTTATACTTAAAAACTACTTTAGGAAGCAATAAGAAAGCCATCCTAAACAAAATCTTAGAATTTGTCCTGAAAGATTGAAAATGAATCGAAAATGGATTGATTTTTGAATCGAATAGAACTTAAATCAAAGAATTGGTCATGTTCAGATCAAGTTAAGATCGGAATGAGCCAAATTTTTATTATTCTTGACTCAGCTTGACATAGGATAAAAGGAATTTGAGCAGATTGAAAGAGAGTATTCAATTTGGATATCCACAAGGACTTTGTAAATAAACATTTAAGTATTGTTTGGAATAGCTTTTTTACTATTTATTCAAGTATATAGAAGTTTTTTTAATTTGATATTTTTATATTAAAAAGCTGCTTTAGAAATCAGTAAAAAAATTATCGTAATTGAAGTCTTAGGCCTCGTTTGGGACGGCTTTCTTACTGCTTCTTAAAAAAGTATTTTAGTACAAAAATTTTAGGAAGCAATAAAAAAGCCGCACCAAATGAAGCCTTAATTGAACAAATTCCAAGTTTTGATGGGCATAGCGCTTAGCAGCTATGGCATCGGCCGCCTGAATCAGGTGAAGAATGGATCAGAACAGCAAACAGCGGACTAGTTCAATTCAATATCAGACTTCTGTCATTCACTAATTCTCTCCGCATAAAATAATTAAAACTCACTTTCTTATTTGCCTTATTAAAAAAAATACAAAAATTCTCCCCAACCAAAATAAGCCAGAGAAAAATAGTTTCTATTCTATGATTTTGACAATTTTATTTGCTTTCCTCCACCCTCAATTCCTTCAAACAAACCAAATATTGTTAAAGTATATGAATGCAAATAAATAATTCATTTTTGGGAACAATTTACTATTTCATAGAGTAAATTTTTAGAATAAATTTTTTTAAAACACTAAAAAAGTTGTCCTAAATGAAGCCTTAGGATCTATTTGAAATGACTGTAGTTTTTTTATAAAGTTGATGGTAAATTTATTGTGAAAAAATGTAACTTTTTAAAAGTTAATGTAAAAAATTGCTTTCTAGTAGGGGTGTCAATATTGGACCCGATCCGAAAACTCGGCCAAAACCTGACCAAAAAATTTCAGAGGTTGAAACGAACCCGAAATGGGTCGGACAGGTCGGGTTTGGGTTAAACAATTCGACCTGTTTCAAAAATCAGGTCTAGTTCAGGTTGCCCCGTTGGCCCGAAATTGAACCGTTTATACCCGAAACCCCATTTTTTCTCGACAACCCGTTTTCACAAATTTTTGACCCGAAAAGCGATGATTGACCCATTTTTGGACCAGAAAACTAGCAATTTTTTGTCCGTCCCAGGTCGGGTTGACCCGGACTCGAAGCAGGTCAGATTTGGGTTTGGAAAACCAACACATTTGTAAAAACGGGTCGGGTTCGGGTTGACACGAAATGTGCCGAGTCAAATTCGGATTCGACCCGTGGTCTGAAATTGACACCCCTACTTTCTAGTTTAATTTTTTTAAAATTAAAAAAAAAACAAATAAAAATTTGGATTGATAAGATGTTTATAAAGTCGCAGGTTACTTCATTATAATAAATGTGTCATTCAACACGTGTCAAAGATGTTTAGAAATTTGAATTGGTGGGCGTGCACGGTTGGGAACCCCTCATCCCGAGTTCGATTACCTCGAGCCGCAGTCTCCCCTTCAGTGAGCGCCCCAAAACGCCAGCTGTGAATAAAGTGGCGTGGGTGAACCGATAGATCGGCCGGTATTTAAGGACCCCCAAGCGCACTTGTGTATGCCTAGCGTAACATAGGACGGGTCCTCGTCACAAAAAAAAAAAAAAAAAAAAAAAAAAAAAAAAAACAGGTGTCAAGTCATCGCTGCGTTGAAATAAAATTTAAAAGAAAAGTTACGATAATGGCAGAATGGTTTCTTTCTTCATCCTCCACCTGAACCAGATGAAGACTGGATCGGATCAACTAATTGTGGACGCGTATGGCTCATCAATTCTCTCCTCATAGAATTGAAAACAAATTTCTATTCAGTGCTTTCTACAATAATTTTTGTTTGCTTTTCTCAGTCTCAATTCCTTCAAACCAAAGTTAGTAAAACTATTTCTAAATTTCTGGCATCTTGTCAATACAAAATATCACTTCCAAGATCACTTATCTTGGAATTCCTTTGTCTTTCCACAGGCTTAAGTTTGAAGACTTTATTTCTTTAGTGGACAGTATCAACAAAAAAATGAATGGTTGGAAGGCCAATCTGTTATCTTTCGCTGGGAGACTTCAATATCTCAAATTCACTATTCAGAATACTATAGGCTATTGAATTCGAGGTGCTATCTTGCCTAAAACTATTTCTAAATTTCTGAAAAAAGCTAGCTCTCGTTTCCTATTTTTTGGGGAGTCTACTCAGGAAAGAAAGCTGCACATGGTTGCTTGGGATGTTATCTGCCGACCTAAGAACAAAGGGGGCCTGGGAGTTCCTTCCTTCAATGCTTTACAATTTGGTTTTAACTGCTCTATCATTTTTAGAATGTACAACTCTACTTCTTCTCTATCGGCCTGGTTGCTTAGTAGATACTTCTCTCCCTGGCGTAAGCCTTCCAACACTGCAACAAAATTATGGAAATCTATTAGTAATACTGCTTTTCTTGCAAAATCTTGCTTTTGCTTCAGAATTACAAAAAAAGCTCATATATCTCTTCTTTGGGACCACTGGTGCTACAACCTCACTCTTGAGGAATTTTTGGGAAATATTGTCTACTATCCTAATTGTGTTATAGGATCATTTTTTAGGGAAGATCATTGTGTTCTTCCTGAATTCTTGCCTGTGCAAATCAAAAATCTTTTTCAGGCTGTCACTCTTGTTGAGGAACCCTGTTTGCTTTGGAAGAATAAATCTAACTCTAAATTTAAAGATTATATAGAGGAGTTTTACCATGATCTTCAAAACTGCAATTGGCACAAAGCTGTTTGGCACAAAAGAAATTGCCTAAAGCATAATGTATATGTGTGAATGGCTCTTGTTGGGGGACTTAAAACTGCGGATGCTCTTCTTGTTAGGCAAATTATGGTGCCTAGTAAATGCAATCTATGCCATATTTTTGAAGAATCGGTTTCTCATCTGTTTTATGAATGCTCATACTCTTTCTCTGTGTTAAATGAGCTTATTCCTGCTACTGTGGACCTGTTTTTTAGACCATCTCTGTTACAACTTTTTGCTTGGGTTAATGCTACTTACAAAGGCAAGGCATCGGTTCAAAATTTTTACAAACTTATGATTTGCTTCACCACTTATTTCATATGGAAGGAAAGGAATTCTAGGAGATTTGGGGATAACCCATTTCTAGAAATGCTTTAATTAGTTGTGTCTTCTGGATCTGTGATTTGGAATTCTGTTGGTTGCTGCTACGGTGCTGCTGGTATTACATCTCTGTGCTGGAATATATTGGGTCCCTCTGTCCCTACGATGTGCTGTGGCTGGACAATGATGAAGCTCCCTTTTGCTAGACCCTTGGACGGCCTTGGGGCAACCAGGGATCCGGCAAAATATTTCTACTCTATTTCTTGAGTCCAGTCGGTTTTAGCTTGGGAGCTGGATTTGCTTTTCTCTATGCAGGCTTGGGGGATTTCTGGAGCTGGAGTTGTTCTTATTGTTCTTCTTCTACTATTCTTGCTGGAGCTGCTGCAAGGAGGCAAGGAATCATGGATTCAAGTTCTCATTATGTGCCTACTGCCACTTTTTTGGCTCTTATACTATTTTTTTGTAATGATGGGTGGTATAGTTGGGGTTTCTTTTCTATTTTGTCCTTCATAAGTTTTTGTTCTTGTTTATGATGGAGTTTTACTTGTAATCTTTTTCTTACCTGTAATCTTGTTTTCTTATAGTAATATATGGGCTTAGGCCCCAAATTTCCAAAAAAAAAGTTAGTAAAACAACACCAACGTAAATTAAGGGTCTGTTTGGCATTGGCGGAGCTAGAAATTTTATTCAAACGGGACCTAAATCAAAATAATTTTGTTTACTGTCTTATTTGAAAGGGTAGAATATGTTAAAATAGTTTTGTTTGCCGTCTCATTACTAGATTTATGAGAAGAATGCAAATAACATGACCCTTAGAGCTTAGAAGATATAAACATCTGCCAGAGACAATCTTTGTTTGGGGGCAAGAGAGGAGCGAAAGGGAAAATGAAAGCCATGAGTCGTGAGAGAGAAGCAAAGGGGAAAAAGAACTATTGATGCTTTTCATGTGTTCAATAAAAAAAATGTTAGTGGCTTCTTTGGATTATTAAATACTTTTAAAAGAAATAATTACAAAAAAATAGAGCAAATTTTCTCGTTGGCAAACTTGTTGCTCTGTTAAGCTATTAAAATAATCAGCTTTAAGCCCCTTAAGACTTTCAATTTTAGCTTTAGCCAAATCCTTTAGAGGAGATATCAACAATGAAAATCTCT